AAACCAAACCAAACTGTCCTCAATTCACCTATCTCTCTATCTGCTCTTTCTCTCAATCTCCTCTCTCTTACTCTCGCGAACAAACTATCACCTCTCCCCGTTCCCCCCCCCCCACCCGCCTCTCTCTCTTTCTCTCTCAATTTCCACTTTCACTCTATCTTAATCTCCCCTCTCTTTCGTCACTCAATGAATTCTCCCCCTTTCTCTTAGCTCTCTCTCCCTCCCTCACTTGCTCTCTTTCAGCCCCGTCTCTCCCACACAAATACACTTTCTCAGCTATCAAACTCTGTCTCTCTTTATCACATACTCTCTCACCCCTCAAATTCTATCTCCCCTCTCATACAATCTCCCATTTTCCCTGTCAGTCTCTTCCCCTCTTTCTCCCTCTTTTAGTTACCCTGTTTCCCACATACCACACTCTTTCTCCCATCTCACTCATTTTTCTTCTTTCTGTTCTCACACCTTCCCTCCGTTTCTTTTCTTTGCTCTTAATAATAATAATCCTTGCATTTGATATAGCTCTTTTCACGTCGGAAGGACGTCCCAAAGCGCTTCACAGAACACACTGTAAAGTAACTTGACTGTATATTTGTGGGCGAACGCGGCAGCCAATTGCGCACAGCAATGTCCCACAAACAGTTGTGGATTGAAAATGACCAATTTTTATGATTGTTTTTGGTTTTGGAGGGATTATTATTAGGTGTGTGGAGTAAGCAAAGTTGCCCAAGGTTTGGCCCTGACCTGCCTGGAATTGAACTCAGGTCTCTCACTTGCAAAGCGAGTGCTCTAACCACTGAGCTACAGGACTCCAGGAGTTAATCCCCAATTTTCCACACAATCTCTCTCAATCACACTCTCTGCCCCTCTCAATCTCTTTCTCTCCGACCCCTCTGTGACTAATTCTTTCTTTCAATTTCTTTCTCCCTCTCCCACCACCCTCTCTTACCTTCCAATCACACACTATCTCTCTCCTCCTCTCACAATCACTCTCATCCCCTCTCTCTCAATTACTCTCTCACTCCCGCCCCCACTCTCTCTCCCTTCTCACACTCTCTCCCTATCACCTCACTATGCTCACTCGCCATCTCCCTGACATTCTCTCTGTCAATCACTCTATCACTGTCTTTCAACCACTCTCTCTCATGGCTGCCCTGTTGGACCACCCTGTAAATCAGGCAATACATGTCTGGTTCCAACACTCACTCTCTCTCAGCGCCGCTCTTTGTCTCTCACTCACAACCAGTCTCTATATTTGCCTTCCTTCTGATTCAATCTGGATTCCAGCGCCTTGGAACATCCTCCCGACGTCAAAGGCGCTATTCAAGTGTAATCTTGTTGTTCAATGCACGACAGAGCGAAATGGTGGGCAAGTTACCTTACCCCACATGTCTGTTTGCATAGCAGGAAGTATGAACCCAGTTGTTACTCAATTGGCAGATCGCTTTATCGGAGGTAATAATTCCTTCAAAAAATACAACGATAATGATAAATTGGTCCCTTTAGTCCACAACTGCTTGTGGGACGCTGCTGTGCGCAATTGGCTGCTGCATTTTACGCTGTATCACATGCAAGCATCATTATTATTATTATTAATCTCTCTCACTCTCTCTTACTCAGGCTCTCTGTCCGAGTCTCTCACTCTTTTCTCTCACTCAGTGTCTCTCTCACTCAGTTCTCTCACTTACTTAGTCTTTCTCTCGCTGACTCACTCGCTCAGTCTTTCTCTCTTTCTCTCTCTCACTCTCACTCAGTCGCTTTCTCTGTCTCAGTCGCTCTCTCTCTCTCTGACCCATTCTTTTTTACTTTCTGTCACACTCTCTCTCTGTATTAGAGTGACAGGTGATGCGAGAGGGGTATTGAGATCACACTGAAGCTGGTATTGACCACAGGTGACGATGGGGAGACGTAGAGAAGAGAGAGAGCAGTTCATGGCCACCGGCCTCCGCGCTACATTCTGACTGTGGCATAGACTGGATCATTGTCCTCACCGGTTTGGCAGCGATTCTCACTCCGGTTCCCTAATGCCAGACAGGCGTAGTGGATGTCAGCGTCCTGCAAACAGGCCAACAATCAGCACATTTGCTGGGGATCATGGGGAAACATGACCTACCTCCAACTTTCTAGCTATTGGCTCCGTGGTGAGACCCCGAGCCACAGCTCCGTTATGTGTCTGTGGGTGTGTGTTCCTGTCTCCCCCAAACACACGGGAGACCGCAACCCACAGCTCTTTTGTGTGTGTGTGTGTGTCTCTCTCTCCCACCCCCACCACACACCCGCACTCCGACCACACACACTCCCCACCCCCTCCACCACCACCCTCTCAGCTGGGGAATGCAACCCATATGTGTGTGGTTCTCCATCCCTCCCCCATGATTACTGTGGGTATTAACATACCTGAAGGTGAAACACATGAATTGATCACCGATAAATCGCCCGATAAGTTAATTATAACCAATAATAATGATAATAAACTTGCATTTTGGGAGATCCTCCTGATATGAAAGATACTACACAAATGTAAGTCGTATACACACACAGACACACATAAGCAAGCAAACATACATACACACACATACACGCACACACACAAACACCCACACAGATAAGCAAATACATAAAGACACAAACAGAGAGACATAAACATACACACATCACATGCAGACACCTACACAGACAAAACCCCCACCCTACACATACACAGACACACACACATAAGCAAACACCTGAAGACACAGACACACATATACACATACACCCACACACACAGAACCACACAGACATCCTCCACCACCCCCCAAACCCCGCCGCCCCGACCCTCGCCTCCTCCCCCCCGACCCCCGCCTCCTCCTCCCCCCCACACACAAACACAGAGAAACACGCACATATAAATAGACCAAGCGCAGAGCCCTGAGAAAAGCCACACGACGCACAGGGCTTGAGCCGCGCTGCACTGAGCCGGGCTGACACAGGGCCTGAGCCGGACTGACACAGGGCCTGAGCCGGGCTGACACAGGGCCTGAGCCGGGCTGACACAGGGCCTAAGCCGGGCTGACACAGGGACTGAGCCGGGCTGACACAGGGTCTGAGACGGGCTGACACAGGGTCTGAGCCGGGCTGATACACAGAGTCTGAGCCGGGCTGATACAGGGTTTGAGCCGGGCTGACCGAGGGCCTGAGCCGGGGCTGAATCAATGATCCTGTCCCTACTCAGGCGCTGACAGTATCAGCATCCAAGGCTGCACTCTCCACCTCTCAAAGCCATCAGGAACCTCGTCGTTCTGTTCGACCCTGAGCTGTCCTTTCTTCCCCACATCCGCGCCACAACTGGCACCGCCTTCCATCACCTCCGACACATCGCCAGACTACGGCACTACCTCACCCCTCACGCGGCTGAAACTCTGGTCCACGCATTTGTCACCTCAAGGCTGGACTATGGGAACTCTCTCCTCGTCAGCTTTCCCGGTACCTCCCTCCACACTGCAGGTCATTCAGAACTCTGCAGCTCATGTACTGTCCCGCACCAGACACCGCGACCACATCACTCCCACCCTCGCCCTCACCCTCACCCTCGCTCTCACCCTCACTCCCACCCTCACCCTCGCTCGCCTCCAATGGCTCCCCATCCCCCAGAGGATCGAATTCAAGATCCTCATCCTCGCCTGCAAGGCCATTCACGGCCACGCCCCCTCCTACCTCTCCGACCTACTATCCCCCTACCTACCTGCCTGTACCCTCCGTTCCTCTGGCTCCGGTCTGCTCCACATCCCCCGCCCCTACCATCGGTGGCCGAGCCTTCAGCCTCTCAGCCCCGAGGCTCTGGAACTCTATCCCACAGTGCCTTCGCCGCTTCCTCCCTTTCCTCCATCAAGGCCGGTCTCCAGACCTTTCTCTTTGACCTTCAGCCTTCAGCTCCCCTCTCGACTCTCTACCCCCTCCTCGCTCCCTCCCTTCCCTCCCCTCACCCTGACCCTGAGCATTTCTCCCCTCCTCGCTCCCTCCCTTCCCTCCCCTCACCCTGACCATTTCCCCCTTCCTCGCTCCCTCCCTTCCCTCCCCTCACCCTGACCATTTCCCTCCTCCTCGCTCCCTCCCTTCCCTCCCCTCACCCTGACCATTTCCCCCCTGCTCGGGTCCTGACCCAACTGTTTAGCGCCTTGGGACGTCCTCCCAACATGAAAGGTGGTCTATAAATGAAATCTTGTTGTTGTTGTTGTACTCACCTCTGGACGCACCGCTCGTGGAGGAATTCTCACCGTCGCATCTGAAACAAACAGAAACGGGATTTAACAGCAGCACATTTCAGTAGCAATCGACATTATTTAATATTATTTTCAATGTTATTAATAATTAAGTTTATAATAATTAATGATGATGACACTCAGGATTATGAGTGAAACAGGAATATATTAATCATCCCTGCGTTTGAAGTAACACCTGGTCGAGACGCTTAACAAAGTACACTGTATAGTGGAAACACTGTGTTTTTGAGCGAGTCACAACATCCAGTTTGCACACAGCAGTGTCCCACAAACAGACATGGAGTTACCGACCCACATTATTCGGGGGATTGTCGAGGAGCTCACTGGGAAATATTAATTTCTCTCTTTGAATTTTGTCGAGGGATATTTATTGCACCTGAACAGACCGATGGAACATTAGTTTAACATCGCATCTGAAGGACAGAACACATGAAGCAGCTTAAGTTCAGAGACGTGATTTACAGACAGACCCAGGGACAGACACGCAGTCAGACACGCAGACAAGCATACAGTCAGACTGGCAGAAAGGCAGACAGACAGTCACTCCCAGACAGACAGACAGACAGACAGACAGACTGAGAGAGAAGGGGCGAGCCAGAGAGAGAGAGAGAGAGAGGCCAAGAGAGCAAAGCCTGTGGTTCGGGGGAGGCCCATGAGAAGGCGATGGGTTGGTGTGGGGGTCGGGCACACGGCTGTGCAGCGCTGTTGGTGACCGACTCCTTTCCCTCTGGGCTCAATCCCGGGGAAGATATCACTCACATGTGTCGGTGCTGCTTTGGGGGTCGCCTCCTGCGGGTACGGCCCTGAAAGAGAAGCAAAGAGAGAGGAGAGCGGTGAATTCTCCGCTGTTTTACTGAGCAGCGCCACAGAGCTCAGACCAGGGCTGTCACAGCGATACACAACAACTTCTGACTCTGGTCTGAGGGTAAAGAGCGGCACTGACACGAATACTGTTGAAGGAATGGGACAGAAACGAGGGGTTAATAGACCGACTTCTGCGCTATCGCTGTCTTTGGTACCGGAGTGAGAGAAGCCGCGCGGAGTTTGATGGTGATCACAAAAGCGGTTTAGACGGCAGAGCCCGAGACTGGTTTGGAGACAGTAAAGCTGGACAGCAGGTATGTGGGGGTGTATGTGGGTGTGTGGGTGTGTGTGTGTATGTGTGGGGGTGGGTGGGTGTGTAGGGGTGCGGGTGTGGGTGGGTGGGCGTGTGGGTGTGTGTGGGGGTGCGGGTGTGTATGCGGGGGTGGGTGTGTGTGTGTGTGCGCGGGGGGTGGGGGTGTGGGTGGGTGTGGGGGGTGTGGGTGGGTGTGTGGGGGTGCGGGTGTGGGTGGGTGGGCGTTTGGGTGTGTGTGTGGGGGTGGGTGGGTGTGTGTGGGTGGGCGTGTGGGTGTGTGTGTGTGGGTGGTGTGTGGGGGTGTAGGTGTGTGGGTGTGGGGGTGGGGTGTGTGTGTGGGTGGATGGATGGGTGTGTTGGGGTGTGGGTGTGTGTGTGTGGGGGGGTGTTTGTGGGGTTATGGGTGGGTGTGTGGGTGGGTGGGGGAAGCTTGTGTGTGGCGGGGATGGTGTAACTGTGGGAAGTGTGAGTGTGCGGTGTGAATGTGTGCATGTGTGGGGGCGCGGGCTGTTTGGTGGGGGGGTTGTGAGGTGGGGGGAAGGGTATGTGGGGGAAAATGTGTGTGGAGTTCGGATGTGTGTGGGGGAGAGGGGGAGTGTTTGGGGAGGCTGTGTGCGGTGGGGAGAGTGTGTGGTGGGGAGGGTGGGTGTGTAGAACGGTATGTGTGTGTGGGAGGGTGTCTTAGTTTGGGGAGGGTGTGTGCTTGGGGGAAGGGTGTGTGTGGAGTGAGGGTAGTGTGTGGGGAGGCTGTGTGTGGGTGGGGGGAGGGTGTGTGTGGTCAAGCGTATGTGTGTGGGAGGGTGTATCTGTGGGAGCTTATGTGGGTGGGGGGAGGGTGTGCGCGTGGGAGGAGGGTGTGTGTGGAGGGAGGGTGCGTATGCGGATGTTAATGGGGCAAGAGTGTGTGGGGGGAGGTTGGGTGTGTGGGAGGGTATGTGTGGATAAGTGTGTAGGAGGTGAGTGTATGGGGGAAGGTGCTTGTGTTTGGGTGAGCTATGTGGAGGGGAGGCTGTGTGTGGGAGGAGGGTGTGTGTGGGAGGGGTGGGGTGGTGGAGGTTATGTTTTGTGGGAGGGTGTGTATGTGGGAGGCTGTTTGTGGGGGGAGACTGTGTGGGGGTAGATTGCGTGTGGGGGGGGAGGGTGTGTGGAAGGGTAGAGTGAGGGGTAATGTGTGACTATGGGGAGAGTGTCAGTGGGGGAGGATGGATTTGTGGGGGAGTGTGGGTATGTGGCGGAGTGTTTGTGCGGGGGGTGGGGTGGGGGGGAGCGTGTGTGTGTTGGGGGGGGGGGGTTTGGGGAGAGATTAGAGTAGAGAGCTCCAGTGGGGGAGAGAGCACCAGCACAGACACGATGGGGAGACAGCCGCGAATGGGATTAGAGCAAAAATGTTCTTACATTGGACTCTTCTGTTTACCTGTAAGTACAAAATGTAATAAATGTTAAAATTCTTCAGTACCGGTTGTGTGTAGTTGTGGTTTTATTAATAATAATTCTTCCCTTTCATCCAGCGTCAAAGCCCTTCAGAGGCAGTCGTGGCCAAGAGCTGTTTACTCTCCCCTGATGGCATTTTTGGACGACCTTTCAGACACTCCACTCCCACTCTCTGGAAATCAATCCCAAATTCCCTCTGGTTTACCCCTCACTCCCTCTCTCACACCTCAACACCTATCTCTTCAATCCTGTCTAACATTATCATCGCTATTCAGTGTCATACTCAACATAAATCGTTGTTATAGTTTAATGTATTCGCTATATTATGTTTTATTATGTTTTGTTGTGAAACAATCTGCTGACGGTTGTGGAATTTGACTTACTTTTTGGTACAGAACGTAACAGGAACGACATCTGCTCAGATTGTAGATGGATATTCCCGCTTGCATTGGCTTTGACCAAAGTAAAATAACAATAAAAATCCTTCCATAAAATAGAGCGCCTGATAAAATAGTAATTCTTGCAATTGAATAGCGCCTTATCATGACTTCAAGACATCTCAAAGCACTTCAGATTATACTGTAAAGTGAATTAACTGTACATATTGGGCGAAACGCGGCAGTGCCCCACAAGCAGCTGTGGATGGAGTCACCAATTTAATTTTTTTTTTGAAGGAATTAATACCCCCGGAAAATCAATAATCCAATCGACTAACAACCGGGTTCCTGCTGACTGCTCAGTAAACAGAGGCGTGTGGAGTAAGGAAACTTGCCCAACATTGTGGGCTGCTTACAAACAAAAAAACAATGAACCCAGGTCTCTCGCTTCCGAAGTGAGTCCTCTAACCACTGAGCTACAGGACTCCTTGCCACCTGCCTCTTATCGACTTGTTGAGGTGTCTCAATGAGCTTGATAGGATATACAGAAAGTGTAGTGACTGTGCATTTTCGGAACGTACTGCAGCAGCCAACCGCACGCATCTGTGTCCCGCAAACATGGAGCAAGCAAACATGTCCCACTCCTCATGGAGCAGGTGACCAATTTTATTCGATGGATTTTTGACCAGGACATCAGGAGACAGAAACTCCCTTCTCTTTTCGAATAGCGCCATAGGATCTTTAACTTCCCCGTGAACTGGCAGATGGGAACGCGGTTTAACGGTCTCACCGGTGTTACAGACTCACGACTTCAACATTAAACCAACACTGTGACCTGCAGAAGTTTCTACACCTGCGATCTGTTACTTACAATGCTTTGAATCCCAAAGGATGCTTCTCTACAGCCTATGCACCTCAATAGTGTCACGAGCTCTAAGTCCAGTCTAATACTGTACATTGTCTATGGTGTTAACATAAACACAGACATGTCTGTCTGACTCAGCAAGCGCGATGCTGCCTGTTGTCTCCTGGTAATGTGCAAGTTGTTAAACACTGAGTATTGGTTTCGTATCTCTGTTATCAGTTTCCTATCTGCATATTGACAAGAACAACATCAACACCAACTTGTATTTATATAGCGTCCCCTCAAACAAGGTAGCGTCCCAGAGCGATTAACATTAACATAGAAGGGCAGCAAGACACAGTGGTTACCTCCACTGCTGGCTCTTACTTTATTCCCAACAATTATACGCTATATTCAATGACATTCATGGCCACTTACGTCTCTTGTACAGACAGAATCCCAGTATAAACACAATGATCGCTAACGCAGTGACAATTCCCGCAACCAGTACTGCAGTGTGCATCCCGGTCCAGGTTCCTAGAGGGAAAATGCACAGATAGTAATTTCTCGACTTTGAAGAGCTAATATGGGGGAGAAACTCATCATTGTAAAGACGTCACTTAGGTTTTATCTCCCTTGATGTGAAAGTGCGATAGAAAGTCATGTTTTCTCTGTTCCAATGAAAATAGCTCATGTTTTCCTAGTCTGTGCTCATGAGGCAAGCCTCTCGCCCCCTGACCCTGTGGAGCGGGAGCTTAGCAGGGTCTCTTTGAGGATGCGCTGGTCACCTGCCAAACTGTGGAAGACCGGATTCAAGTGTAACCTTGATGGTGGTCTCCAGTCCGGGTCTGCAGTATTCCAGGGCTCAGGTTATGACAGCACGGCCCAGCCTGGTGCTCATCGGCAAGAGGTTGAGGAACAGATCGATCACTGGAAGCGCAATTCTTCCACCTCAGTTCCCAAGAATACCCCAATAGTGTGCGCATTTTTGGTGGTCCTCGCTGGACAAGAAGGGGTTGTGTACCCGATTGCAGTCAATGACAAGCAGTGTGGATTAGATGGTTAAATATCAGATGTTATGTAACAGCAGGATCTGGGTTGGCCAAAGCTTGTCTCAGGGAACAATACAATACACCTTAAAGTGGTGATGATTAGAACAGCAAGAGCGTCTCTCCCACTGGGAAAAGGAGAGAGTTTCCACCCCAGACGTGCCGTGTGGGGATCACTCGGGAATTCGGGTTTGGAAATTTTTTTACCGCAGGGATGGGTTTCCTCCCGGGATCAAACACTCCAGCCATCACTAGCAGATAACATGGAAATATGATCGATGGTGTAAAGAGTGGTTATAACAGGAGCTGCTGTAAATGGTCAAAACACAAACAGGTTACTCAGGTCTTACCCGACACAGAGATTCCCAATCGCTCGCTCTCCGGTGATGTGAAATCTCGGCCGTCTATAACAGTAGTATAGTTACAGGTGTAGTTTCCTGCACTGATCTCGGATATGGTGAACATTGCTGTCTTGTTATTCTCTGGAGTTGTTTGTGATATGATAAACTCGCCGTCTCTGTATAAAGAGAAATTGCTGCTAACATAATTGCCAGAACATGAGATCTCAGCGCTTTTCCCTCTCACAAACTCCCGGGAATTTGGCTTCAGAGAAATGTTGGGTTTCTGGAGCGGATCTGGAATTAAAACACAGTCAATATAATCTCACAAAGCTCGCTCTGTGATATGAAGACAGTTCAGATCAGAGTGAAAATAAACATTTTCTTGTTTCCCAGCCTGGGGAGGTGTCAGGACAATGGTAAGAAGTTGAGGGGAAGGTTCAGGACAGAACCCAGCAAGTGTTTCTTTACACAGAGAGAGTGGGAGCGACGGCTGCGAATGGGGTGGACAAAGATGGCGGTGAGGCCGTGGAGTGGGGTAACACACAGCTCCAGTCTGGGACGGGAGGACGGGAATTCAGTCTGAAACTCTCGTGTGATCTTCAGACGTTTTATAAACAACAGTATAAGATCACATCAGGGGATCAAACAGAGAATTCAGGAGCAACGACTTCACACAGAGGGGAATAAGGTGGTGCGACTCACTGCTCGAAGCGGTGGTGGAATCAGACAGTAAAGATACATTCAATATATTCAAGAAGACGTCAGACCTTCACAGAGGAAGAGGGGAATAGTGGGTGCGGGAGGGAGTGAGGCTATTTGAGGGAGTGAGGATGTGGAAGAGAGCACGTGGGAAGGATGGAGGAACAAAGGGTGTGGGAGTGATAGTGGAGAGAGTGAGGGAGAGGGGAATAGAGAGTGTGGGAGGAAGAGAGGGAGTGGGTGACAGGGGAATAAGGGTAAGCGAGGAAGGGAGGGATTGTGCCACAGGGGAATAGAGGGTGGGGGATGAAGTGAGGAATATAGGGTGTGAGAGGGAGGGAGTGAGGAAGAGAGGGTTGGGAGGAAGGGAGGAGTGGCTTAGAGGGGAAGGAAAGGTAATAATAATAATAATAATCTTTGCATTTGATATAGCGCTTTTCATGTCGGGAGGACGTCCCAAAGCGCTTCACAGAACAAACTGTAAATTGAATTGACTGAATCGAACGCAGCAGACAATTGCGCACAGCAATGTCCCACAAACAGTCGTAGATTGAAAATGACCAATTTATTATTGTTTTTGGTTTTGGAGGGATCATTAAGGGAGGGAGGTATTATTAAGGGAGGTATTATTAAGGGAGGTAAGGGAGGAAGTAAGGAATATAGGGTTTGAGAGGAACGGAGTGAGGAATAAAGGATGTGGGGGGAAGAAGAGGGTGAGGGGAGAAGGGAGGGAAGGATGAATAGAGGGTGGGGTGGGAGAGAGGAATAGAAGATTGGGAGGAAGTGTGGGAGGGAGGGAGGAATAAAGGTTGTGTGGGGAAGAAAAGAGGGTTATGGGACAAGGGAGGAAGGGATGAATAGAGAGTGTACAGGGAAGGAGGAATGGGGAGAGACTTGTGTCACAGAGCCGGTGGAACAAGAGGAATTATTTAATTGATTAAGAGGAAGGAGGAAGGGGGAGTGGGGTTGAGGGAGTTTGCTGTGATCGCTTCTATTGGACCTGAGTGGAATGCGAGTGACCATTGGTGAGAGAGTCCAGACCCTCGCACTTACCCAATGATTGCCACTCGCTCGCTCTCTGGTAATGTGAGCTCTCGGCCTCCCACGAGTTTAGTATATTTACACCAGTGATTTCCTGCCCTGATCTCCGATGGGGGGAACGTGGCCGCGTTGCTATTCCCTGGAGCTGGTTGTGATGTGATAGACTCGCCGTCTCGGTATAAAGAGAAGTTGCTGCCGCGATAATTCCCTGAACACGAGATCTGAGCCTTTTCCCCTCTCACGAACACCTGGGAATTTGGCTCCAGGGAAATGGTGGGTTTCTGGAGCGCAATCTGCAATAAAAACACAGTGAATACAGTCTCACAAACACTCGTTCTGATCTGTGCTACGGTCAATATCAGGGTGGACAGTCAGCCCGGCCTCAGCCCTGGGAGACTGAGCTCGGGGTCAGTGTGAGCTGGGGGGTCAGTGTAAGCTGGGGGGTCAGTGTGAGCTGGGGGGGTTGGTGTGAGCTCAAGCTCAGTTTGGGGTGGGGGTCAGTGTGAGCTGTGGGGGGTCAGTGTGGGCTCGGGGTCAGTGTGAGCTCGGGGTCAGTGTGAGATCGGAGTTAGTGTGAGCTCGGGGTCAGTGTGAGACCGCACAGAGTGGGGTAACACACAGCTCCAGTCTGGGATGGGAGGACGGGAATTCAGAGTGATAGTGGAGAGTGAGTGGGTGACAGGGGAAAAAGGGTAAGGGAGGATGGGAGGGTTTGTGGCAGAGGGGAATAGAGGAGTCCTGTAGCTCAGTGGTTAGAGCACTCGCTTTGCAAGCGAGAGACCTGAGTTCAATTCCAGGCAGAGGGCGAAACCTTGGGCAAGTTTCCTTACTCCACACAGAGCCTAATAATAATCCCTCCAAAAAAACAAAAAACAATAATAAATTGGTCATTTCAATCTACGACTGTTTGTGGGACATTGCTGTGCTCAATTGGCTGCCGCGTTCGCCCACAAATATACAGTCAATTCACTTTACAGTGTGTTCTGTGAAGCGCTTTGGGACGTCCTCCCAACGTGAAAAGCACTATATCAAATGCAAGGATTATTATTATTATTATCATTATTAATAGAGGGTGGGGGATGAAGTGAGGAATATAGGGTGTGAGAGGGGGGGTTTGAGGAGTAGAGTGTTTGGAGGAAGGGAGGAGTGGGTTAGAGGGGAAGAGAAGGTAATAATAATAATAATAATAATAATAATAATCGTTGCATTTGATATAGCGCTTTTCATGTCAGGAGGACGTCCCAAAGCGCTGCACAGAACAGCCTAGGAGACTGATCTCGGGGTCAGTGTGGGCTCAGGGTCAATGTGAGCTGAGGGGGTCAGTGTGAGCTGGGGGGGTCAGTCTGAGCTGGGGGGTCAGTGTGAGCTGGGGGGGTCAGTGTGAGCTGGGGGGGTCAGTGTGAGCTGGGGGAGGATCAGTGTGAGCTGGGGTGTCAGTGTTAGCTTGGGGGGGTCCGTGTGAGCTGGCGTGATTAGTGAGAGCTGGGGGGTTCGGTGTGAGCTCGGGCTCAGTGTGGGGTCGGGGGTCAGTGTGGGCTCGGAGTCAGTGTGGGCTGTGGGGAGTCAATGTGAGTTCGGGGTCAGTGTGAGCTGTGGGGGTCAGTGTGGGCTCGGGGTCAGTGTGAGCTGGGTAGTGTCAGTGTGAGCTGGGGGCCCTCAGTGTGAGCTGGGGGGAGCAGTGTGAGCTGGGGGTGTCGGTGAATGCTCGGGCTCAGTGTGGGGTGGGGGTCAGTGTGGGGTGGGGGTCAGTATGGGCTCGGGGTCAGTGTGGGCTGGGGGGAGTCAGTGTGAGCTCGGGGTCAGTGTGAGCTGCGGGTGTCAGTGTGGGCTCGGGGTCAGTGTGAGCTGGGTGGTGTCAGTGTGAGCTGGGGGCCCTCAGTGTGAGCTGGGGGGAGCAGTGTGAGCTGGGGGGTGTCGGTGAATGCTCGGGCTCAGTGTGGGGTGGGGGTCAGTGTGGGGTGGGGGTCAGTGTGGGGTGGGGGTCAGTGTGGGTTCGGGCTCAGTGTGTCCTGGGGGCGGGAATCAGTGTGAGCCCGGGGTCAGTGTGAGCTTGGGGAGGTCGGTGTGAGCTCGAGCTCAGTGTGGGGTGGGGGTCAGTGTGGGCTCGGGGTCAGTGTGGGCTCGGGGTCAGTGTGGGCTCGGGGACAGTGTGGACACGGGGTCAGTGTGAACGCGGGGTCAGTGTGAACGCGGGGTCAGTGTGAGCGTGGGGTCAGTGTGAGCTCGTGGTCAGTATGAGTTCGGGGTCAGTGTGAGTTTGGGTCAGTGTGAGCTCGGGGTCAGTGTGAGCTCCCCCTGTGCTCAGGCCCTCCCACTTTGTGCAGCTCCGCCCACTGTGCTAAGCCCCACCCAC